ACTTTCCCGGGGAGGCCCCGCCCCCTGCCGAACGTTCGTACCCCCAGCGCTCTCTCTCTCCCCAAACTTTCCCCGGATCCAGGAAGCCCAATACCCTGGGAACGGTCGCCTCCGCCCGGTGGGCTGTCTCTGCTCGGCGGGTCCGAGCCGGGCTTTCCACGTGCTCCTGAGGAGGCGGCTGCGGGATTCACCCCCTCGGGCTCTTTGGTCATTGCGGCGCGCGGAGGCGGTGGAGGGAGGTTTATTTATTGACGCACATGTGGGGTTAAATTAAACACTGAGGAAAAACAATCGTGGCTGTTGTTTGCACACAGTGCGGGCGTCTTGCTCCTCCAAGCCCCACTCCTAGCCTCTGCTCTCAGGGACCTAGGAGTATTGAGCCCCTACCCCCCCCCCCGCCTCGTCTACCTCCTCAGGGTCCCAGGGGTCCTCATCCCCGAGCCCCCCTTTTCATCCAGGGACCCTAGTAAGGGTCCTGAGCTCCAGTCCTTATTCCTAGGGGTCCGCAGCCTTTGTCCTTTTTTCACGTTTGGGGGAAACCAAGCGTCCTGGCTCTCCTTGCCTTAATTTTTTTTTTTTTTTTTTAGAGACTCGGGGAAATGACACGCAGCCCTGTGGGCTTGAGGAGGGGGCTGGGGCTCTGAAGCGAGTCTGAGTCAGGAAGCCTCAGGCCCCCCTACTCCTCCTCTCATGACCCACAGGAAGCCTCAAGCCCCACCCTTAGGAAGGAAGCATTGATCCTCCCTCGGCATTCATCTCCCTTCTGCCCGCATGGTCCTCCTCCCTCAGTCTTACCCAGAACCTTTATCCTTTCACCCTATCCAAAAACAAATCTGATAATAAAAAGAATCAAGAACGTGGGTGAGGTTTGTCCCCAGAAGGGATGAAGAGCAGGGCTTCTGAATGCTTGTACTGGGATGGACTTCTTACCTCTTTGACCCACCGGCAAAGCTTAAAGACTCCTCCAAATGTTGTTTTTCAATGCATAATGTAACAAGTGTAGGTTACAAAAGAAACCAAGAACTTTGAGATAAAGGTATATATATTTTTCCCATCCAAATACATGGACCTTCTAAAATCTATCAGCAGACCCCAGGTTAAGAACCTCTGGATTAGTAGGCGTGATCCCAGGGAAAGAGTGTCTATCTCCACATCTGCTTTTAGGGGTCTCAGTCTTTTTTTTTTTTTTTTCCAACTTCAACGCTAAAAAAGAGCATTTTTCCATTCACAAAGCAGAGCACATAAGAGGATTTTATGTGAAACCCTGAATCTCCATTTCATACTGTGTTTGGAAGCACACAATAAATCCTACAGGTTATTTTCAAAACTGTCCTACTAGTCTGTGCTTCCTTGCAAACATTCTTGCATTCTCTGGTGCTAAATACAGGTCTCAGTCTTAAGAATCAGGATTTTAGACCTGCCAAGCTCCTTAGAGCTAATATGGCAGAACTGGAGAAGACCATAGAACAGAGAATATGGGAAGTCAGAACAAGGAGAGATCTTAGAACAGAGAAAGTCAGACCTGGAAAGGTCCTTTGAGCTCAGCTAGTCCAAATCTGACATTTAATAAATGAGGAAACTGAAATCCACAAGGAAATGGAGGACTAGAGTGACCCAACAAACTTGCAGAGACCCACCTTCTCTCTCTGAGCCTCCGTTTCCTAACCCGTATAAAATGATGTGGTCAGACTAGATGCTCTCTCAATCTGTGTCTCTTTCTCTGAGCAAAGTGCGGTGAGGGAGTCACCTGAGGGGTCCTGCAGGCCCAGACAGAGGCCACCCCTCACCAGCTCTGCTCCCCAGATGCCTGTCTCTCCGGTCCAGCCAGTTTGGGGAGGGAGCTCTGGTTTGGGGCCCGCCCTCGAAACTCCTGCTCCCACGCTCCCCCTCCTGCTTCTTGGGCCCTGAAGCTTAAAACCATGGGGTTGGCATACAGAATGGGGCCCAGGGACAGCCCCCTCCTGTTTGAGATTCAGGACCCTGGGATGCTGGGGTGGCAGCAATGGGCTGATTGATCATTCTCTGATCTCTGGCCTGTGAAGGCCTCTTCTGCCTCTTCCTGCCCTGTGTTAATGGATCATGGATCGAAGAACCAAGGTCCTGGAGTGCTAGTCCTGCCTGGCCCCCATAACAAGTCCATGATGGGCCCCTGGGCAAGTCATTTGGCTGTTCTAGGCCCAGAGATCCCCAGGTAGAAAATACATCTGGAAATTCAGAACACTCAGCTCAGGAAGTTTCCCTAGCCCTCTGGAGATTAATAACTAGTATTTATGTAACATTTTAAGGTTTGCAAAATGCTTTTACACATCTCTTTTAATCTTCACAACAACTCTATGAGGTGGGTGTGGTTATTATCCCCATTTTACAGAGAGGGAAAGAAATGCTCAGGCAAATCACTTTAGCCTCCCTGGGCCTCAGTTTCCTCCTCTGTCAAATGAGGGGCTTGGACCAGATGTCACTTGCAGAGCTCTGGATCAATACCTGATGGGATAGCAGTGGGCTTGGTCTCTCCTCAGCTCCTGCCACCCCACCCAGTCACTTCCCAGAACCAGCTGCTCCAGGGCAGGGCTCCTGTTGTCTGGGCCAGGATTCTCCCATGTCTTTCAGATGCCGTCAGATGCCAGATCTGGTGTCTTTCAGGGATGTGACGCAAGGTAAAGGGGGGACCGCCCCAGAGTGAACGCTGGGCTGGGTCGGGCTGGGCTGGGGGAGGAGAGAGTGAGGCCCTGGGGGCAGTTACTCATCTTAGGGCTCAGGTAAGAGGGCCCGGCTGGGGTGCAGAACCACCACTCCCTGGGGGATTCAGAAGAAGCAGGACGGAGCAGTCATGGAGACAGAGAGGAGATGCAGCCCAGGGCTCCTCACAGCAAGCGTTCTACTCCTGTCCTTGCTCTGGCCAGGTGAGGTAGTGTCACTTTGGGCAAGAGGGATGAGGAGACTGAGGTGGGAGGGAGATGCCCTCTGCATCCCAGGCAGAGGATCTGGGGTGAACCCAGAAAGGCCCCCCACTCAACCCTGTCCAGAATTGTGAAAGTGCAGGAAAGGAGACAGTTGGGGGGCAGGGGAGAACCCTGGTGCCCAGGAGAGGGGGAGTCACAGGAAGGGAAGTTTTCCCACCCCAGGGAGAGGGGCTGTGGGCAAGGGAGCCTTCACACCCCAAGGAAAGGTGCAGCTGTAGGAGATTAGGCTCTCTGGCCCTAGGGAGATTGGGATATGGGCTTCCCATGCTTACATGGCAAAGGACCCTTCCACACTGGGCAGAGAGGGCTGTGTGGGCACTCCACCTGGGTCTCTCATCTAGAAAACACGAGAAAACAGGGAAGATTTTTCTAGGCCAGGGAGAGGGGTTTTAAAGGCTATAACTCCGTTGAAAAGGCTGCAAAAAAAGGCCTCCCACCCCCAAGAGACTTCAGGGACCACAGGAGAGGGCTGGCCCCCTCTGGAGAGGGGAGATTGTGAGGAACAAGCCCAAGGAAAGGGATGGCTGGGAAAGGTGTTCCATCTACAGAACAAAGAGGGAGGATCACAGGGAAGAAGTCCCAGCCTCGGGGTTGGAGCCCTCGGTCGGAAGGGTCTCTTAGCTTGGGAAGAGGGGCTCGCTGGGAGAGGGCTCTTCCATGATGGGCACAAAAACAGTGTGGAGAGGGGAAGAAGGTTCTTACAGTGGGTTTGGCCCTCCCCCAGGTGCCTCAGCTCTTAAATGCTATAGCTGCATTCAGAAAGCCGATGAAGGATGCTCCCCGGAGAAGATGAAGGTGGTGACTTGCCCTGCAGACCAAGGAGTCTGCACAGAGACCGTGGGGGCCGTGGAGACCAGTGAGTGAGGCTCCCCTGGAGGGAGGGGCTGGCACATGCAGGGTGGATGGGAGCCAACAGCATCACGAGTTCATTGGGTAAACACTAACTCCCAAACCCAAGCCCCTGCGCTGGCCCGTTTCTTTCACTGGGGTTGATCTGGGATCTCCATGGCAATGGAGGGAAGCAAGTGCTTAGAGGCCTAGGGGCCTGGAGGTCGTAAATCTAAGATTTGGAGATGGACAGAGCCCCCAGGGAGTTGGGCAGGAGGGGTTTCTGAGTCACCCCCAGTTCCTATTAGACTCAGCCACTTTCACTGGGGAAGGCAAGGCTTCCAGGTGGTCCAGACTCACCCAGGTTTGGCTAAGACCACATCCCCTTGAAGCTTTATCACACGGAACCCTGCCCTCCACCCCCAGACCCCTGGGCATCCAGGCCAGGACTCCAGTGGGCCACACTCCAAAACTCCACTCCCACCTCTGACTCAGAGACCCCAGACCCCACCCCATCTGACTGCTCCCTCCTCTGAGTCCTCCCCACTGAGTGCTCCCTTTGAGACCCCCTCTCCAACTCTAAACTTTTAGCCCTCCCCATTAGGAGCTCTTTCCCTTCAAGCTCCCTCCCCTCTCCAACCCCTCCGTGAGTCCCCCTCACCTCTGAGTCCTTCCGCTCTGGATCTTTCCCCTTCTGGTCCTCCCCTTGCCCCCAGTCCTCTCCTCTGGGCTCTTCTCCTTTGAGTCCTTTCTCTCTGGATCCTCCTCCGGTTCCTCCCCCGCCCCAGTCCTCCCCCTCTGCATCCTCACCCTCTGGATCCTCCCTCTTCTGACGCTTCTCTTCTCTTTCCCTCCCTGGCTCTTCCCTCCAGTTCACGGGCAGTTCTCTTTGGCCATCCGAGGCTGTGGATCAGGCCTCGCGGGAAAGAATGACCGAGGGCTGGACCTGCACGGGGTCCTGGCCTTCCTGCAGCTGCAACAGTGCAATAAGGACCTGTGTAATGCCCAGCTCAACCTTACCTCACACCCCCTGAACCCCAGCGGTAAGCCAACAGGGGTCCCAGGATTCCAGAGGGCGGGAGTGGGGCAGGAGTCCTGGTCTCTGAATTTGGAACCAGAGCTTCTAGGTTCAAATTCCAACTCTGCTACTCACTAGCTGTGTGACCTTGCACAAGTCACTTCCTTACCCTAGGTCCTGGTTTCCCCCTCTGTAAAATGAAGAGATTGGACTAGATGATCTCCAGGGTGCAGTCGAATTCTAAATCCTACCCTTCAGTCTAAGGGCAGCCCCGGGGAAGGAGCCCAGAAATGGGGGAAGGGGCTGGGGACTGAGAGGGAGATTTGGTGGGAATGTGAAAGGGGAGGCAGGACTGGTAAAGGGTAGGAGGACACAGTCTACAAATGATAATCTCGTGATCTCAGCTTTGGTTCTAGACAATAGTCTGGAAGGTATCATTGAAGGGATGGTTAGTGACTCTTTAGAAAGGGAACCAGCGATCCCAAAGGGCCAGCACAGGAACTGGTCACGCCAGATTTAACTTAGTTCCATTTTTGACAGGCTTGCTAGACCGGCAGTCAGATCGAGGGACTGCAGCTGGTGGAGTTGATAGGAATTTCCCCCAAGTGTGTGACAAAGGATCTCATTCAATTTTTTTTTTTCTGGACAAGATGGAGAGGTCTGCTCAGTCCAGGCAATGGTACAGTTTGGCCGGTGTAGAATTGGTGGAATAGCTAGATCCAAAGAGTGACCATTAGTGATTGGTCTCAAGGAGGAGGTCTCTAGTGGAGGGCCCCAGGGCTCTGTGCTTGGACCTGTGCTGTTTAATCAATCGATGCCTTTAGGCATAGATGGTATGCTCATCAAATTCACAAATGACACAAAGCTGGGGGGCTATTCCAAAATGATGGGTGACAATGTCTGGATTTCAAAAGACCATGACGTGATGGAACGTTGGGCCAGCTCTAATAAGATGTCGTTTTTTAAAAAATGTACTGGTGTAGGGGAGTTCCTAGTGAGGAGTTTCCTTCCTCAATGCAGATCTGTGCCCTCTCTGCAACAGCTTAGGTGGAGTGAATTGACCAGGGTCACACATCCAGGGTGTGTCAGAGGCAGGCCTCAAACCTGAGTCTTCTGACTCTAAGGTCCATGTGTTATCTACCATGCCAGCCTGCCTCCCCCAAGATAGCATTTTTTCGGACGTTTTCAGTCATGTCTAACTCTCCGTGACCCCATTTGGGGTTTTCTTAGCAGAGATAGTGGAGTGGTTTGGCATTTCTTGCTCCAGCTCATTTTGCAGATGAAGAAATTAAGGCAGACAGGGTTGAGTGACTTGCCCAGGGTCACACAGCCAGTGTCTGAGGCCAGATTTGATCTCACAAAGATGAGTCTTACAGACTCCAAACCCAGCATTCTATGTACCATGGCGCCACCTAGCTGCCCAAAGGTGTTGTATTAAGACTAAATGTAAACTTCTACGCTTCAGCAAAAAGGAAAAAAACAAACTTCTCAAGTCCAAGATGAGGGAGGGGGTGGGAAACA